CTGTATTATATTTTAGAGATTTCGATCATTTGTTAAGCCTTAACTACCCAAATTATATGACCTTGGTTTGACCTTGAATATAATTCATATGAACTTTTGGCAAAACAAACTAACTACTATTTCCCTAGCTATTCGTATTAACACAAACTGACTGTACTTCCTGGGCATCCCTCAAATTACTTCTTTCATTAATTCTACTCAAATATTTAATTTTTAATATTTTCAACTCATATAAGCAAATCAAATACACTCAAATTGTGCAATGGTGAGCACTTACCATTTCCCAAACTTGCATGATATTATCTTCAGATACAGAACATATCACCCAAGGTTCATTTGGATTCCAAGAAAAATCAGATATCTTTGCAGTGTGACCACCATGAATAAACTAGTAAAACATAAAAGCACTATCAGTATTATGGTTTTAAAAATTTTAGTTTCAACAATCATTTGTTAACAGTTTATAAATTTAAAAAATATAAAAATAAAAATGATAAACATGCAAATTTAAAAGTTACCTATAAAAATTACTGAATATTAAAGCAGTTTCATCATTTAATACTAAATTTTATGAAATTTAGTATTAAATGATGAAACTATTAATACTAAATTTCATAAAATTTAGTATTAATAGATAAAATACTGATCTCAATTGATATTGTATCTTATGTCAATCTACAACAATATATAATAATCATATTGAACATGTCATATTGTTAGGAAGTTGCTAGATGTTGGCACACATACAAATAACACAGCTTAATGTTACTCTTGTTTGGGTAGCTATGCTTTGACTTTAGTCTGGCGTAACACTAAGTGTTTTATAGTTTCAGTATTTTCCACTTATTGCCTAAAATGAAATGTTCTACTAACCTAAGAAAGTTTATCAAAAAAAGACAAAAAACTAGTATACATGGACTGTTTCATATAAAGTAATATTGTTCATGAAAAAATAGGTAAATATGCATAAATCTTATATTGTCAAAACAATATTCTCTTTTTTGCTGGCTTGGTGCCAAAAACAAATAACAAAATTGAAGAATTTTATTTTTTGTCAAAGTAAAGTAATAAATTATGACCTAAATTTTTGATGTTATTAAACATTTTTTTAAAGTAATTTTTACTTGTAATGATTACACACTATTGTGCCAAAAACTACATAAAAAAATAAATATACATGATTTTTTTTTGTATCTCTGAGATAAAAATTCAATTTTTGGTAAATTTTTAAAATAAAATACATAGAGTGACCTTAAGTGACTGCAGTTTGGATTGATGTTTTGAAGAGTAAAGTACAACTGATCACGTTGTAGTAAGAGTTAATTACCAAATATTATCTATCTATAGCTTTTCTTTCAAATAAATTAATTTGTGTATTCTTATTTAAGCGTTTCCAATAAAATCTATTCCTGTAATCATTGCATTCAATGCAACATGTAGCTGATTTCTGTGATGTAATACATTGGTTATTTGAGGTAGAATTGATGCTAACAAGTATCCAAATTGTCATTTAACAGAAAGGTGTAAAGAAACATAACTTAATACAGCATATACCATATTATATGCTTTTATATTTTACCTTCTGGTCTTTATAATTTTTCTTATGAAACAACAACATTGAACACTTGTTTATAGAAAGTTATCAATTTCCTTTTTACTATAATCACTAGATTAATTAAAATTAATCTGAAACTATAATTATTCCAAATATAAAACAATTTTATCACCACTATACTGTATTCAGAAATAAAAAAAGCAATAAAACTTAGGGATTTGAATGATTTTCACAAATTTTCTTGAAGTTTTCTAAAGCAGTCATTTTATCAGATATATTACAGATTTAACCACACCCACTGAATTGTAACTACATGGTAAGATAAAATCTAATATACCTAGACTACACCAATGTTTGTTTAAAATCTTACATAATGTACAAAATAACAGAATGGCAACTCCAAAAACTTAAAATTTTGAATTAATTGAAAGCTGCTGTTATTTTTATTTCTCAATCATTGTTTCCCCTTTTTACAATACTAGTATCTTCAAAATAAATCATTTAGTGGATTAAATAATTCAAATCTAAATAAAAAGTAACAATAAAAAAGAAAAACTGTAATTTGTAAAATTAAATTATAATCAGCTATACAATTCAGTTCCAAATAATTTTGCTTACCAAGAGTTCAGGAGGACCATCCTCAGCATCTTCAGCAGACTGTTCTTCTCCAATTTTACTTAAATCCCACACATGTAACCTCCTATCTGTACCACTTGAAGCAAGAATTGTTTCATTGTGAGGCGACCATTGTACTTGAAATATTTCATCTTTATGAGATTCAAATGAATGAAGTTTCAATTTTAAATTTCTGAGATCCCAAAGTGCAACTGTCTAATATATACAGAATATATGATTTTATAATTTAATCTTTATTTTTAATAATTATTTTATAAAAATTACTATCTTACTTTGTCCGCAGAACCAGTGGCTAAAATAAATTCACTGTATGGATTAAAAGAAAGGCAATTTACTTCAGCAACATGAGCATCTACTGTATGGCTTGGTTTATTTGTGTTGTTTGAACGTGTATCCCAACTAAAGAAAAGAAAAAATGATAATTTCAATTGCTTTTACATTAAAAACTTTTTACATAAACTAGTTGATAAATAATTTACTGATGAAAAATAATTAACAATGAAACAACATTACAATTAAGGCAAATTACATGGATATACTTTAAGATAACTGAGTTTCTGTAATCTTTCAGTTCTTTCTTGGATACAATGAATAACGGTGATTTCAATAAATTATTTACACAATAATTTTCTCATTAATAAAAAACAGTAATAATAAATTTAAAAACAACATATAGCGCACACTTCTTTTCTCTATAATTTCCCTTCAATATTATAATTAAATACATCAATTCAAATAAAAATATAAAGCTAAAAAAACCATTAGCTAAAATTATATAAAATGTACAAAAATAGACTTATAACATTTCAGAATTTACAAAGTAACATAAACACACATCTAAATATTATTATTTACTAAACATACATCATTAATTTTTGATCATCAGCTACAGAACCAAACAGACTTTCATGAAGTAGATGCCAGGCAACATCCTAAAAATCAAAAAATTAGAAATATATCATTTAAAATCATAAATATGTAATCAGAAAATTATTTTATTTGTATACATTTTTAATTTTTTGAGACAGTATATTTTTATATATACCATGGAAATTAATATTTGAAACAAAAAATTTATTAAATTGATATAGTTCAAAGTATTTTTGAAAGGTTTTTTCATGACACTCAAAAAAAATATTTTAAAAATTTACACAGCTATAGTAAAATGAGATGATAGTGTTAACAGTAAAAATGATGCATTTGCTAATAATTAAAAATTGCATTATATTTAATTAAAAAAGAAAAAATTATTATTTACCTCAACTACAGCTGTATGACCAGTAAAAATTGTTTTAGCATCAACGATTTTGTTTTCTCGAGGAAGAGCATTTATATCCCAAAGACAAATTGTCTAATTTATAAAAAAAATAGTTTTATAAAATTTACAATTACAACAGCTTTAATAATCAAAGTTCAATACATCTTTAAAGAAAGAATTACCTAAATTCTCATACCCCTTAAATAAAAACTATTATTTTCATAATACAGTGCAAGAGTATATTTTTAAAAATTCAAGAAACGCAGGCCGCAAAAACATTAAGAATCACTGTTATAGGTGCTCATTTAAATATAGATAAGGAATTTTTTGTATATCAATAAATTTTTGTTTTATTTTTCAAATTTCCTATAAAAATAGTTATTATTAAACTTTAAAAAAAAAAAAATCACTAAAATATTCAATTTTTAATGAGAAATTATCAGTGGAATTATGTAACTATGCAAATTTTTCTTCACAAATGTAGCTGCACCAAATAACATTTCTCATATATATAAACATTCATATTTTAATACACATTATAAGTACAGTAAGACCTTGTTTAGTGCTTAGGATGCGTTCCTAGATGACAAAGCACTAAATAAAATGACCTCATTTAATGCTAGTTTCAACACAGTAAATAGGAAAAGGGAAACATTAACCAAAAATGAACAAATTTTAAGTTATTTTTATATTAATTTGCATAATAATATGTTACATAACACAAACATATGCACACAAAAATATAAAGTTCATTTTGTGATGAAGGTCCTGGCACTTCTGAAATTCTTGATTTTTTGCAATGAACTTGTCTAGAATCATTTGTCACTTTCTTTATCTTTCATTAAGCAAATGTCAGTAGCAGGAGATCACATCCAAAATGCCTTGTCTTGCTTTTACATTCCTTTCAAAATCTGGATCACTTGCTACAATTTGATCAACAATTTCAGTTATCATTGCTACAGATTTCCTTAGTAAAAGTTTTGTAAATTCTTTGGGTTCTTCGTTTTCAGAATCACTATTTTCCAGTTCTACATAAATTCCTTGTTCTTCCAATTCTTGAAGGTTGTTGTTGGTAAGGTTTTCAACCAGAAACCTGCAGTAACTCCGCAATATCTTGCACTTCTACATCTCCTAGTCCTGCTGTATCAATTAGGTTGACAATTTGGTCAACAATAGGCCCTTCTTGTTGTGCATGAACATAGTGTGGAAGAATGTATGACTGGATACCTCCAGCCATATATTCTTCCCCACACTGCTCATGCATTTATCTGTTGAAGTCAATATTTGCATTTACCAAGTGAAGTCAATATTGCCTATGGCATCCACGATATCATATTTTTTCCAAAATTGCAAACAAACATAGATTTAGGAGTACAGCTTTATGATGAATTGTCACCTTTAGCTGATTGGTTCATGTTCAAGAATAATCGTATTATATATGAATCAATGAAATGCTACAATAATTTGAATCAGTGTGAACTTTGAGTTATTTTTTTATGCTTCGAGCAGACAGGATTACATCAAATCAGCATTAATCAAGAAAGCAAAAAATAAGGTCTTACTGTTACAATAATGAACACAAATTAGTACAAATCAACCTTATATTGTAACAAAAAATAAAATGTTAAAAAAAATATGTTCTTTTTTGTAGTCTTTCCATGTTATTTCCTCCCCAAAAGAAATGATTATTAGATAAATAATATATCTATATAGTTATATAATTTAATTACTTTAAATAAAATACTACAATTAATGGAAAAATTTAATAATTCAAAACAAATTAATATTAAATATCTTTAAAATTAAACAGATTGTATTTAAATTAATGGCATTTGAGTAGTCAGTTATATTCTACAAAATAAACGGCAAAGTCATTTTTGGGACGAGACTATGTCTCGGAGAGCGCAAGCAATGCAAATGCAAGAGCGCAAGCAATGCATGAGTGTGCAAATCTCACACTCATGCCTGTTTGTAGAAACAGTCTCGGCATTTTGTATTTTCTTTTGACCCAGTTCTCAGTCCTGACTACCTACAAGTCTGGTTTATTTTACGTGCACATGATTTGGGCACCACTGTGCCAAATTGTAACTTCTGACACGTACTCCTTCATACCGCTAAGGTGTGCAGCCATTGACAGTAATGCAATTTTAAAGATGAGACAGTCTCATCAAAAATTGAACATTAAACCCATTGCATAAAATGCTTTATTTTTTCTAGATTTCAAATTTTTCTAGTGACACATAAACATCTCTTTTCAATTGGACTATTTTATTTTTATTTAAGGTAATTTTACTGAAAACATTTTATGTCAATAAGTGATGCCAATATATTTTCTAATATACATAGAAGCTTCAAAAAATCATTAACAGAAGTAAACTTACATGATCATCAGATGCACTTAATAAATTTCCATTAAGGTTAGGATTCCATGACAATCCATATCTGTTTTATATTATAATTTTAATAATTTAATCTATTCATAAATTTATTTTTAATAGGTATTTAATAATTATTTATTGAATTATCAACTAGTAAGTAATACTTTATTATTTATGAAGACTAACAGTCAGAACAATCTCATCATGTGTTTCTAGTGCATAAATTTATTTTATATACAGTGGTGCCTCGTATAACTTACTTAATCCGTTCCAGGTGCACGTCCATTAAGTGAAAAGTCCGTTATGCAAAACGCATTTTTCCATAGAAATACATGTTAAAACATATAATTCATTCTGCAGCATAAAATAACTGTACTGCACCACTAAAAAAAAAAATGAAAATGGAACAGGCACCAATTATGCCAGGTAGTCAGATGTTGTGAGGAGGAGGTGGAGGAACACCTATTTCACACATTCATACAGATACAGACTTTTACACATTGCAGCAGGTCTCTTTTTATTGTTTTTTAATCAGAGTCAGATTCAGGAGAGTCTACCGGAGCTTGCAGGGTCATCTCCTCTTGTTCCATCCTTTGGTTTTTGGCAGCTGGCTTCTTGAAAAAATGTCCAAGGTGGTATGTTTCTCTCTCTTCTTCAACACTTGTCGGAAATGATGGGCAAGGGTGCCATTGTAGAGATCATTGATCGTGTTGGCCTCAGCTCTGTTTGGATAATAAGTGTTGGTAAACTCCTGAACCTCTCCCCATTTGACAAGGAAGTTTTTTGTAACCATATGCAAATAATGTAGATACTCGTAACTACCACTAGAGGGCCAGAAGCAGTTTAAAAAGGGGATAAAAATGAAAAGGGTGAAGAATTTCTGTGTGTTTTTAATTGTAAAAGTGTCAGAAACCTACAAGAAAAGGCTGACACTTGATCTTTTTTAACCTTGTGAAGTTTTTTTTTACCAATTTTTACCTGTGTTTAAGAAGAGTTCTTCAAAGCAAAAATTTTTTAAGACTGCTACTTCTGTGGTAGTGTATAAAGGATAAAGATGGACTCAAAAGTTATTTTGACTTTTTGTAAATAGTCTAAACTTCAAATTATAAGGAAGTTTTTGTCAACTTTCACTCCTTCTGATGATTTCTTGCTTTGTATCAATTGAAATCACCTTTCTGTTTTTTTCAGAAGCCATGATTTGCACAACACTCTGCACTGAGGTGATGTATGTAATAAACAAGGGAGTAAGCCGAATCCCAATGGGAGCTCTATTTCAGATATACTAATAATATATTCTAATAATACTGTATTAATATATTACAAAAATAGTAGATTGTCATTGGCAATGGCAAAAGAGTGGAAACATCATTTGCACTTGTTCACAGAAAGTCCGTTGTTCGCCTCACATAACTGCCGAACGGAAAGTCCGTTGTTTGCAGCCAGTCCGTTACTCGAGTCACTTAACGGCCAAACAGAAAGTCCGTTATTTGAGGCGTACATTATACAAGGCACCACTGTATATATATTATTAGGCTCAAAGAACAAAAACACTCATTGAACAACGCGTTGTGGTCTCTTTAAATCAGTGTTTTTCAACCTTCTTGAATACGTGACCTCTTTACAAGTTAAAAAATTCTGGCAACCCCCAGGGCCATATTAAAACTATGTCAGTGATTTTAAAAACTACCTATTGAATTTTCTTTCTGTTGAGATTTAAATATCGATCAAAAAATCAATTGTACTGTAAAATAAACAGGCACAGACTTCTCACTGAAATTGTAGTTTTTTTATTGTAGGGCAGGACCTACCAAAAATATGTCTTATTTTACCAGCGACCCCCCGTGTGTGGCTTTGCAACCCCACTGGGGGGGGGTCATGACCCACAGGTTGAAAAACACTGCTTTAAGTCATCCACAATGTGATATTCGTGTTGTGGCACTTTTAAAAACAGCCAAACGCGTTGTGACTAACTCAAAAAGATCACAAAACGAAATTTGCGTCGTGGTTTTCATGATATTCGACCACTATGCGTTGTGGATGTTTTTTTCCCCCTGCTCAATGAGCCTAACATATATAAAAAACACACATATTTGTAATCTGTATTTTATTGTGTAATGTACTACAATGTCAATATGCAGAACTTGAATACACAAATGATTTAATAAAAAGTATCAAACACCATTTTTTCCCCGCACGAAAAAATTTTATAGCGATTTTAATCAACCTTTAATGACGCGCGCTTCACGCTTTATTGCTTTTTAATGTTTTTTTAATGGGAGTTTTTTTATCAAAATTAATAAATCATTCTAAAGTGGTAGTGCACCGATTTTCCTTCAGTAAAGTTACTTAAAGCTGCTTTCTGATGTCAAAAACGACCTCTGATAGTTTTTTAATTTTTTTTAATTAATAGATTTTATTATATATAAGTTTAATTAATTAGGGGAGTCGGAAATCGCAATAAAAATTATAATTTTTTAAAAATATTTAAAAATATAGGTTTAGTTTCTAGTCACCCTACTTTAAACCCTTCTCCTCCCGAGAAGTCTGAATGTCCGGGAAGTATGACACCAGCTGTTCTCAAGGTCATCCAGATGTGTAAACAATGATTCATTGGTGTTAAATTTCACAGGAAGGCGAGACAAAGGAAACTAAATGATGAAGCTTTTTAACCAAAATTAATGCATTTCTTTCGTTTTTTCAGTTTTAAGTATTTTTTATGCTTAATTAAAATTTTTTTTTAAAAAGTGGACAAGAAGGGATTAAATAAAACAGTGCTTATATCACTGCCAACCTAAACTTAACTGCACATTCAATCAATTTTGCATTGCATTTGTGTTATGCAGTTCTGCACTGCTATCTCGTTTGTTGTGAAGCATTCAACTTTTGTATTTGACATCCTATTCCAGGATCACTTGATATTTTAAAATGCACTAAAACATAGTGAATACATGTGCTACAACTTTGAACTGACAGTGTCGCCTTAGTTGCCATTAGAGGGCCAAGATTACAACAGTCCTCTCCAATAGAAGAGTTCAAAGGAAATTTATCATATACCCAATATAGTAAGCATTTTCAAAAGTTTTACAGTGATTGGCCTATTCATTTTTGAAATAATTGGCCAAGGAGAGATTTTTGTTAGCACCCAATATTTATTTGAACATTCTAAACTCAAGTTTTATTTGTCAAATTCTAATTATTTTTTATGTATTAAGTTATGATTTTTGAAAGCCAAGTAATTTTTTAAAAATGACTTAAACCGTAGATATAAAAATCACCTCAATCTTATTAAAACTATTAGAATTTTTATGTTAAATAGAGCTTAACCATATACAGGATGTTTACTTAAATATTTATCCGGGTACAAAAAAGATCTTTCCAATATTGCACAAATACATGCAGATGATAATTTAGTTTTATTGTTAAGTTTATAGTAAAATAAACTCATTTATTCAAGAAAGGGATGTGTAAATTGCATGGCAGTTCTCCAACAATAAATTTACCAATCATAACAAGATTGAAATTAAAAATGCAATCTTTACAATCATATAACAACATGCAATGCTGATCACCTTAAAAAGAGCTATCATGCATTCTGCCAATTGTTTAACATGTCTACTACAACAACTTAAATTCATGANAAAAAAAAAATCACTGATGTTTGTAAATACAAAGAGGAAATACACAAGATGCAATCATATGAATCAAGTAAACTAAAATTATTGACAATAACTGTTAGAGAAATTCATCAATTCATAAAATTATTAGAGAAATTTGGAAGTTGCTTGTAAAACTGTCACTGACTTTCAACTGACTGTCTTTCAAGTAGAAAACCAAACTTTGTGATATTTTGATCTTATAATATATATAAAAAAATATATATAGAATGTGGACTGAAATGGCAAAGTCCAGTTTTTTTATTTATATAAAACTGAAATACTGGCAGGATAAACTTTATTCTTTCATTTTGACAAATTTAAACTATCATCAGTGAAACATGAAATATCCACAAAACTTTCATCCTAATTTTATTCAAGTTTTGTTGTGAAAACAATGTCAATTACTTCTTCACACAGTGTTTGAAAGAATCTTACAATGCATTATTTAAAAAAATAAAAGTTTGTCATCTTATCTTGAATACAAATAGTCAAAAGGATCAGTTTAAGGATGATGCATATTAATACTGAGCCAGACATGGAAAAATTAGTCTCATCGCATCAGGCCCATCATTAATTATTTTTATATTATTAATTTAATTAATCAAGTACAGTTCGGCCCAATGAAGTATTCACCTGTCTATAATCGATAAGATCCGCTGTAACTTATCACTTGCATTTTCAGGACATGCCACCTGTTATCATAGAGTTTTGAGATGGACCCTTCCGATCCGTGACAAAATCGGGATGAGGGGCATTTAAGCAGTGTCACATGACTGTTTTAATTGACAAAACTAATCGATGATAACTTATTTATTCCTGCTTATATAGCATGAGATTTTTTAAGTTGTGAAGTTATGGTAATCATTTACAAAAAAAATTACGATTATATCTTATATTTCAATCAGTTTTCTCCCTATCAACGTCTTTTTATATTTATTTTGTTGTAATTTGATTCAAAAAAAGGAAATAAATAAACATATCAGTTTTCACTTAGCTAAAATTTCTCGGACCAACGGCAGTTTCGTTTGTAGTTGGAGAAGAAAGTGTTTTCTTTCACAGTCAGGGTAGAGTTTATTATTTTAGCCATCATCCATCCCACTACTATTATAAACAAGCTGTTAATCGTAAATAAAAGATCCAACTTCTGTTCCAATGTCATTGGTGCTATCTATCCCTTTAAATGTTTTCTCTTCTTCTCTACATTCAACTACTACTTTTACAATATCTTTTAATATTGCACGAGACATCTTCATAATTTCCGCTAATCCAATAATAAATCCGCTAATAAATCCAATATCGCTCTCTGAACGCTCTTTATGTCCATTTTGTCGTCTGCTTTTTGTTTGTTTTTTCCCGTTAAGCATCGCCTCTCATTTCCTTGTAAAGCAATTAAGTCTTCTTCTACAAATCTACAAATAAAATTTATAAAAATATCTGTCTAAGCAATGTAAAATGTTTATGGCTAATATTGTTTAGTGACTTAATTCAAACGAGTATTTCTTCTCTGAATTTCTAAGACTTACAGAAAATTACTTTTCCTTATTATTTGATTCATATGTTTATCGCATGCATGACAGCTAACGTTAAGGACTTATAACATCATTTTTTTAGGAAAAAGTTCAAGTAGAAAACCAAAAACCAACTGTGTGTAAATTTACAGTTAGAATAACTCTTATAATGTTTAATGATGAAAGTCATAAAATAACAAAGCTTTCTGCATCATATTTGACAATATAATGAAAGAAATAGCAGCCATGTTTATATAGCAGTATATGTTTTACTTTGGTAATATAAATTAAAGTTAACCCAATTAAAATTAAATAAAATATCTTTAATTAAAACAACGCGACTTGTCACGTATCACATTGTCTTAAGTAAAACAGAGCAACTTATATACATAAAGGTGTTGAGAAGGGGCAAAGGTGTTCAATACTTCGTCCAAAACCCGGCATTATCTATTATCATTTTTATCCTCTTTGGCATACTATTCACCAACTGCTGGCATATATTGCTCCTATTGAATATTTCCCATCTCTCACAAAGGGCTTCCCATAATTCATCCAGTGTTGAGGCATTGACTGGCTCTCTAGCCATCTCCACCCACAGATGTTCTATGGGGTTTAGATCAGTTCCCCTTCCTGGCCAGTTTATGACCTCGATGTTACTTTGACGTTCCAGCTGGCTGTGTGTATCAGGGAGCAATCACGGACGAACGGGACATTTATTGATGGATCCAACCCTTGGAGAGAGGGTAAAAAGTTGCCTTCTAGTATATTAACATATTGCACTGCTGTCAGATTGCCAATAATTCTCTCACCAGGACACCAGGACCGGATGAAGACATCCATGCCCATACTCCTGCAAAACAAAAGGAAAAAGTAACTTAAAAGCACAAGAATATGCATATAATTATAAATATCATCAGCACAATTTAGTTTTAATGCTTGTGTTATTACATTGGTTATACGCTATACTTACTTCTAGCATATTTTATAACTGTTTTCATTTGAACTACTTATAGACAGGTTATATTACACTGTTGAAAACAATCTGATAATGTCTTAAATATTATGAAGATAATATATTTGTATTTTCATAATATTGTAAGGCAATTATCAATTAATTAAGAGCAATACCTCACACATTATTATCGACTACTTTCTAATTTAGTGATTAAATTAGATGTTCAGAGAAGGAATATGACGAATATGGAGTGTAAATGGTTGGTTATTATCCAATGAAACACCCCACAGTGTATTTCTTCGAACATAATTCATTAAAAGATATTAGACATACTATCTTTTAGTTAGTTGATTGGACATTAACGTCTGCTTGAAACATATTGGCCATGAATTGTTACTGACTGACATCAGAGTAGCTAATAAGAGGGAACAAAAATATAAAAATAATCCATCTACCAGCGATGCAGATAAACTATGTAAATTAACAGTTAGAATAACTGTTACAACCATTAATTCTTTACGCCTCTATGTCCTTAATATTTTGATTTTGTTTTTATATTGTTCACATAGACCTTGTTTATAAATAGAACTTATTATATTGGTGTAGTTTCAAATTAGCAACAAGAGGAAGTAATCTTTATTTTTACCAGTGAAAATAATAATACTTTTGTTTAACTTTTTTACTTAGACTTCCTCCCTTTGCTAATTCCAAACACACACACACACACACACATATATACAGTAGAGCGTCGTTTATCTGAAAGCCAGTTATCCAAAAGAATTCCAGTTGGCAAATTTAAATTTTCACTAGTGCTGTGGCACTGCAATCTTTGGCTATATCTTGGGCTACTCCAATATTTTTTTTTGTTGGAGTGTGTTTTAGCTGGCAGCACTGGCACTTTTGTGTGGTGTTTTTCTGAGGACTGTGTGTCGTGCTGAATCAAACATTTTGATACTAGATTAACTTCTAAAGTATAATTTTTTTGCTTTTATATTTTTCAATATATTTGTTTTGTTTGTACAAAATAAAGAAATAATTTTTAATGATACAATAACCACAATTATTATTTTAAAAAGTTTATGTTAGGCTTAACATTGACGAAAATTCAATGCGAAGTGACACGCAACAGAGAAAAATTTCAACATGGATAGGTTAATATATTTTTTCGTACATAATCGGTTATCCGAAAAATAAGTTATCCAAACAACCTCAGTCCCCAATTGATTCGGATAAACGACCTCTACTGTATATTAGGCATTACTTGGTTCTTTACTACCATCTGAAAATGTTTATGAGATGTGTTAGGACATTGGCTATCATAAACAACACATCAGATGCTAGGATAATTAAAGCGTATATCTAAATTAATCATAATTTGGAAAAAATTATCCATCTAATAAGTGGAACTACTGATGTTGACAGTGTGGATTATTGCACAATGAGTAAAAACCAAGTGGACATGAAGCGTAGGAATAGGACTGCTTCAAAACTATGCCAAGATTTCTTGACACAGGTGTGTAAATTTATCATCGAATATCGGTTTAATATACATTCAACGTAAGAATTATTATATCAGTAAAAAAAGCAAAGATATAAAACATTACCTACTCAGAATCTTCTGTTTTTTTCTTTTTTTTGGCATACACATTTGCTATTGTGCCTTTCACCTCGAGGCCGATGCACCCAAACAACTCCACTTTCATCGCTTGAAAAAGTTTTTTCATCAGAAAACCTCACAGTTTCCCATTCCTTGGTCTAATGAAAATGTTGATAGGCAAAGCCTAAACGGTCAACCATGTTGCTATTAGTTAGGATTTGTTTTTGGGCAGCCCTTCTCACCGGTAAATTGAACTCCCAGTCTAATAATATAATAAAATATTCTTAATAAAGTTTTATTTATAAGTTCATTACACTTATATGAATGCATCTTTTTAAGGTCTAGATCAGGGGTGTCCAACCCACAGCCCAATAAACATATAAAAAAAACAACAAATTTTAAAATTATTTATTTATTTATTTGGCATAAACCTCAAAAAAGAAGTTTCAGAAAGCCATAAACCTTTGGCTTTCTGAAACTTCTTTTTTGAGGTACATATTTTATTTTTTAATAGAAAGGAAATATTTTCAAATACTTGAAATGTGTGAATGAGGAAGGAATACTAAATAAAGCTGGAGTTGTGACTCAAAGAATTATAGCCCCAAGTTCAGGGAAAGAAGAGAAAGGCCAAAAGATAAAAAGAAGTGAGAAAGGTTGGAAAATTAAGGGTCAATATTTGCATAACAGAAGGTCTATTTAACCTTTTTCACTTCTTTATATTTTGACCTTTCTCTCCATTCCCCAAATTTGGGTCTATAATCCTTTGAATACCAACTCTAGCTTTATTTAATATTCCTTTCAGCATTGCAAGATTTGGCTACTTTGCGCCAAATTTGGCTACCCTTTTTTCAGTTTGGCGTAAAAAATATCATTTTGTGCATTGGCTACATTTTGGGCTACATATTATTTATAAATATATTAGTTGAATAAAAATGCACTTTAAAATGGTGTTTCATTGTTCTTTTATTAATTAAAGACCCAAATAAAACAAATATTTGTGTTTTTCAAATAAATTTTTGTTTGTCTCCTTTATAATAAATGAATTTATCTATTTCTAAGTAGAAATTAAAAGTGTCTGTGAAGTAATTTTTTAATATATCCTTTTTTGTGATAAAGTTTTAATACTTATTACTATAATCTAGACATGTAAATACTTAAATATACTTGTATATTTAAGGATTGGGCCACTATATACTTGTGGCCCAGAACTCCATGACTTCTTCCAATGTGGCCCAGAGAAACAAAAAGGTTGGACATCCCTGGTCTAAATATTACACTCAAATGCTACATACCTTCGCTTAACTGTATTTATGGAAATAGGTAAAGATAACTCGGATTTAAGTATTCTAGCAGTCTTAAATGGATCTTCTTCACAATGCTGTTTTAACTGTGCATCCTCTTCTGCAGTAGTAAACCTTGAACGACCTTTCGCCTTTTTTAATGAAACAGTTCTGCTTTCAATCTTCTGTTTGCAGATTTTAATAACTGTTCGTTTGCTGATCTTAAACATTTCTGCTATCTCTTTGACAGTTTTGCCATCTTCTCTGTGCTGAACAACTAATTTCCTAATGTCCTTTGAAATAGCTTTAGACATTTTCTCAAGCTTTTTAGATTACACAAAAAAGTGTTTAATCTAAGCATGCATTTTTGTCGACTTTATCGTCTGCTTTTTGTTTGTCTTTTTTCCAATTAAGTATCGTTTCTCATTTCCCTGTAAAGCAACTAAGTCTTGCAAGAAAGTCGAAGTTACAAATTAATAAGATTATTAGTAATTAATAAATTTATTAGAGAACTTTGAATTTCTTGCAAAACTTAGTTGCTTTACAGGGAAATGAGAGGCAACACTTAACGGGTAAAAACAGAAACAAAAAGCAGATGACAAAATGGACATAAAGAGCGTTCAGAGAGCGATATTGGATTTATTAGCGGATTTATTATTGGATTAGCAAAAATTATGAAGATGTCTCGTGCAATATTAAAAGATATTGTAAAAGTAGTAGTTGAATGTAGAGAAGAAGAGAAAACATTTAAAGGGATAGATAGCACCAATGACATTGGAACAGAAGTTGGATCTTTTATTTACGATTAACAGCTTGTTTATAATAGTAGTGGGATGGATGATGGCTAAAATAATAAACTCTACCCTGACTGTGAAAGAAAACACTTTCTTCTCCAACTACAAACGAAACCGCCGTTGGTCCGAGAAATTTTAGCTAAGTGAAAACTGATATGTTTATTTATTTCCTTTTTTTGAATCAAATTACAACAAAATAAATATAAAAAGACGTTGATAGGGAGAAAACTGATTGAAATATAAGATATAATCGTAATTTTTTTTGTAAAAGATTACCGTAACTTCACAACTTAAAAAATCTCATGCTATATAAGCAGGAATAAATAAGTTATCATCGATTAGTTTTGTCAATTAAAACAGTCACGTGACACTGCTTAAATGCCCCTCATCCCGATTTTGTCAGGAATCGGAAGGTCCATCTCAAAACGCTATGATAACAGGTGGCATGTCCTGAAAATGCAAGTGATAAGTTACAGCGGATCTTATCGATTATAGATAGGTGAATACTTCATTGGGCCGAACTTTTCATCAAGATATTTTTGGACAATTATTTTTTCTGTTTATAAAATTTTTATTAAAATTTAATTTTCAGTGTATCTATTTGATTTTATGGGGTTCTAATAAAATACACACACTAAAACAGGACAGTAGTTAGAAAAAGTTTGATAAACCCTGCTCAAAGCTTTTTGTTTCATGCAGTTCTAAATATAGTAGAGCATCGATTATCCAAAACAATTTGGGACTGAAGTTGTTCATATAACTGATTTTTCAGATAACTGATCATGTACAAAAAAATATATTAACCTATCCCGTGCTGAAATTTCTCTCTGTTGCATGTTGCTTTGCATTAAATTTTTGTCAATGTTAAGCCTAATCAAAATTTTTTTTTTTAAATAATAATCATGTCTATTGTATTTTTTTAAAAATTATATCTTTATTTTGCACAAACAAGATAAATATATTGAAAAATAAAAAAAGAAAAAATTATATTTTGGAAGTTAATCTAGTATCAAAAACATTCCATTTCAGCACAACATGACACTTCCCGACACAGTCTCAGAAAAAAAACACAAAAAACAAGCAAAACTCACCACTCAAAATGGCAAAAAACCCTTGTTCAAATACTGACGCGTCCTTAAGTACCTCTCATGGTCATGCCAGTGCTGCCAGCTAAAACACACACACAACAAAAATAATATTTGAGTGGCCCAAGACATAGCCAAATATTGCAGTGCCACAGCACTAGCGGAAATTTGGATTTACCGATTGGAACGCTTTCGGTAACCAATGTTTCAATTGATCAGTATTCGGATAATTGATGCTCTACTGTATAGCAAATCTACTGATATTCAGCTGAATATTTGGTATTTGGCAACAGTAACACCCAAATAATTATTCATTATTTGACCAGAAAGAATAATCTGTCCATCCCCAGAAAAAAATCTTTGATAGAAATTTGGGAAAACCTTAGCATAACAAATTCTCTTAAAAACATTATGAAATATTGAAAGAATTTATAACAACTAACATGAGTGGTTCAGCAAAACTTTTTCCTGAATATGCAAATGATTTGCAATAAAAAAATAAAATAAAATAAAAATTTATGCAAATGTTAATGGATTTAGGCTTCAAAAGAAAATTTTTAAGGAATTTATCCCACCATATCAAATACTATACTATTTAAAAATTATCATCTTTTGGTTATGTAAATTTGTTTAATAAAAGTTTGGAAAAGAGGGTGCCAATTCATGTAATGTGGCAATTAAGGCCTTTTTTGCAAAAATAGCATGTGTCAAGAAACTTAATGCTGAGAAAACTGAAAAAACATTTCTATTAAATTGCATTAAAAATGGACATCTTTTGCTCCCATTTGTCAAAACTGAGTTAGTCCAAAGGTTTTGGTGTATTTCCAGAATATGGTCTTTGATAAGACTCTACAAAAATTAAATTTTTGATAATTGACATAGAATGTTCCTTTCAGAAACTTTATTCCCACTGTTCTTTTTGCATGAAAAAGTTTGCACATGTCATTTCTATCCTTGCAGCCACCACTGTCATCTTCATCTTCAATGTCCACATATTGTTTATCATCTGCAGCACATGACATACTTTTGGAGAACTTCTCCACATATTATAAGAAAGCTGACAGCTTCAGGCAGGCCACAAGTTTCATGTCCAATATTTCAATATTTATAGGGGGATAGGAGGCATTACTCAGTGGTATATCCTCAAAGAAATGAAAAGAAGTGAGAAGGGTTAGTTGGAGGGAAAGTTAGTTGGAGGGAAAGTCTGTTGTGGCAGAGCCGAAGGTGGGAAGGAGGAAAATATAAAACTGGTAGACAATTTCACCAGAAAAACAATAGTGTGTAATTTTAATGTAATTTTACTCATCCTAATATGAAGTAATCAAAACACACATTTTCACAAAAGTTAAACCAATGCTATTTATGATTTTTCATAGTACAGTAGAGCATCTGTTCTGTGGCGCTGCAATCTTTGGCTATATCTTGGGCTACTCCAATATTTCTTTTGTTGGTGTGTGTGTTTTAGCTAGCAGCACTGGCACTTTTGTGTGGTGTTTTTCTGAGGACTGTGTGTCACGCTGAATCGAATGTTTTTTATACTAGATCAACTTCTGAAGTATAATTTTTTTCTTTTTATATTTTTTTTTAATATATTTATTTTGTTTGTAAAAAATAAAGAAATAATTTTTAACAATACAATAGCCACAATTATTATTTTAAAAAGGTTTTGTTAGGCTTAACATCGACGAAAATTCAACGCAAAGCGACACGCAATGGAGAAAAATTTCAACATGGGTTAGGTTAATATATTTTTTCGTACATAATCGGTTATCCGAACAACCCCAGTCTCCAATTGATTCAGATAAACGACGCTCTACTGTATTAGTAATCTTACATGAACCACAGTTATAATCATTGGATGATTGTAACCAGGGCTGTGGAGTCAGAGTCTGGAGGTATTTCTGGCCAGAGGAGTCTGAAAAAATATTTCTACTCCAACTCCCGCATTTTAAATTTACTTTAGTTTTTTTATTTAAATGAAAGAAAATTTATTATATATTTATTAAGTTTTAAAAATCTTTTTATATTTTGTTATAATTCATTTCTTTTAAATAAAAAATGCATCAATCTATTAAATATGTAGTATTCTTTTAGTATTTGTGTTTAGTAATTAATTTAATTATTAATAAATTATTCTGACCCAATTGAATTTGAATGTTTTTGAATCATTCCTTTATTATCCCTGCTCTAAGTAAGTACTCTATTTTTCTGAATTATTAATAAGAAAGACTAACTGATCAGAGTACATTTTTTTCTTTTCTGAACAAGGGCTAAGTAGCTAGCTAGATCACATACTTTTTAGTTGGACTAACTCTTATTGAAGGGTGAAATTGAAGTGAAAATGCTGTCAAATATATGCAGATGTAAAATTTTACTGCCCCCCCTTTCTCCTCTTATTAAATATTTGTTAAAAATTAATTTTTTATACAAATAAATATTAAGAATACTAACTATAAAAGTATTTGGGTAAACACCCCAGGCTCCTTTCAGAATTCAGAATAGGGTACTTCCCTATGAGCACCTCTGCCCCCCCATAAAATGACTTGGTATTTAATTTTGCCAGAGTCGGGAGTTATCAAGAGTCGGAGTTGAGTGTTCTTTTACTGACTCCGCAGCCATGATAATAATCTTACATCAGTCACAGTTACAAAGAAAAAATCAAAATTGTCACAAAGTACATGTATACTGAGGAGGGATCGATACAAACTCTGATTCGCAATGCCATTTACCTTAAACTGTATATTATTAATTCTTATGCAAGAATTTTTACCTAGACATGTTGTTCAAGGTTCATCAGGATAGCCTTAATACTCCAATATAGTGAATGGCACATCAAAAATATCCTGCTGACTGTGGTCAATCTTGATGTTGACAAAACAATTTGATAGATTTTAGGTAAATTATAATTACATGCATAGTATTTTTCTGGTTCTACATAAAATTATTTAAACCTTCAAGATGTGATTTGTCAAATTCATTCTTGAGTTCAAAATGGCCACTCCATCTGTGACACAGCATACCTGTTTCTCCCCTCTTATATCACACACCAGGTCATTGGATTACTGTTCAATTCATTTTTGTTTTATATAGGTGTACTTAACTTATTTTGTACATTTTGTGTTTCTAAATTGCCCTAACTCTTAATGAATATAATAAAATACTTAGCTGATAAATTCTTGTATGTTGTATTTATTTTTTAAACCAAAGATTTACTTTGATTAATAATCTGATGCAATTTTCTGTTATGTTTCATTAATCATGCATCATTGCATATATCCTCATTAAGAGTTCTATATCATTCAAAATTTATTACTGCAACAGTTAATTATTAACTAAAATTACATTAAGTATTTTTTATATATTTTAATTCTTACCTGGTTTAGATGGATGTTTTGTATAATCAAACACTAAAACATCACTAGATGGTGTTTTTGTTGCAATAATACAAGGGTTTTGTGGCATATATCTAGCTCGATTTACTTCTCCTTCATGATTGATTTTAATCTCAATTTCTATTTTTCCACTAACTGAACCAAATCCTCCAAACTCTGAAACAATAATTTTATTAAAGGAATTGCCTGATTACATAAAGCATAGAGATAAATTTACTACACTACAAATTATGAAAATTATTGTTATCAGATATATATTATTTAAAAATTTATCCATTGGCATTAACTGTAAAGAGCAAACTGAATTTGTTTAAATATTACTGAAAAACATTTTTTGAATTTTTCTTATATTTTTTTACAAATTAAAACATATCTATAAGATCAATAAATAACCTTATAGCTATACACCAACCAATGCATAATATTATCAGGCTAGAAATGGCTATAATATTAACTTATAGCCGTTTCTAGTCCAATAATATTCAGCATTGTTTGGTGTATAGCTTTAAAATATTCCCCCCTCTTGTACATAAGTAAGGATTTGTTGATATAGGTTTGATTTTAGATAATTTGAATTTAAAACAAAAATTGAAATTTTTTTTATAACTGCACCACTTTAAAACTTTCCACTCAAATCTGATTCAATAATGGTTTATTTCCCTTCTATTGGTTGTTTTCTATCATCTGACAAAGACTTATAACAATGTTATAACAAAATTTTAGTTTTTGTTTTATCCCATGAACTACAGTAATTAGAACTCCACAAAATAAACTTATCACACTACACCTTTATTTTGCTGAGATAGTTTTATTGCAAAACTAATGTTTTTGGCCTACTCTATACGCCATCCTCAGGCTTAATGATAGAAAAAGGAACATTGGCATTCCATTAAATAGAATACATAAGTTTAAATACAAAAAATAATAACGGAAAAACAAGAAAAATAACTGAAAAAATAATTCAGATACAAATACAATACAAAACAAAGCCAAACCTAGTGATAGAAAATAATAAATAAAAATAAATACTTTAGATAAACATTGTAATAAATTGTTAAGGAATATTTGATGAACGAAATAACTATAAACTAAGGCAATACTACGAGTTAGTGTAAAATTTCTTGACTATAAATTTCCACACCGTTAGTAGGCTTTCTGCGTCCCTTGCATTTATGCATTCCTCTTCCAGTTTGCTCTTGTAAATTTCAATTTTTTCAGCAGTTTTTGCTAGTGTTGGAGAGTACAAGGATTTGACAATACCCACTTCATCCCATTTTATTATTGGGCCTTGTGTCTGCGCGAACTGGGAAAGTACCGTTGTGTTGGAGCCTTTTTTGATGTCATACTTGTGTTCTTTGTCTTATCCCCAAGTTTCTTGTTGTGACTCCAATGTAGTCTTTTTTTGATTCCTAGTTGTGTGTTCTTGTAAGGAATTTTATATACTCCTGCTTTTTCTTCTTTTTTAATGTGATCTTTATCATTTCTTAAGATTGTATACAGGTTTGCAGTTCTTTTTAGGACCATTCTTGTCCCCTTGCAGTTCGTAATTTCTTACATAATACCTTTCTTGTTATATGTGAACTTTGTGACTTTACCGGGATCATGTTTTGAACTTCTTGCTGTGCCAATCTCGTATTTTTTAACCAATCCTGCTATTGTGCCTTTTCTGTATCCCAGTGTTTCGGCTACTTGTATGATTCTTTTGTTCTGTCTACAACATTATCACAATATAAAAAAGCTTTTCTGATTAGAGCTTGGAATGCTGCAAGCTTATAATGGTATAAGCTTGCAGCTTATACTCGTAACATTCCGAGCTCTAATCAGAAGAGCTTTTTTATATTGTGATAATGGTTAAAAATATATTGGTTAAAAAATACGAGATTGGCACAGCAAGAAGTTCAAAACATGATCCCGGTAAAGTCACAAAGTTCACATATAACAAGAAAGGTATTATGTAAGAAATTACGAACTGCAAGGGGACAAGAATGGTCCTAAAAAGAACTGCAAACCTGTATACAATCTTAAGAAATGATAAAGATCACATTAAAAAAGAAGAAAAAGCAGGAGTATATAAAATTCCTTACAAGAACACACAACTAGGAATCAAAAAAAGACTACATTGGAGTCACAACAAGAAACTTGGGGATAAGACAAAGAACACAAGTATGACATCAAAAAAGGCTCCAACACAATGGTACTTTCCCAGTTCGCGCAGACACAAGGCTCAATAATAAAATGGGATGAAGCGGGTATTGTCAAATCCTTGTACTCTCCAACACTAGCAAAAACTGCTGAAAAAATTGAAATTTACAAGAGCAAACTGGAAGAGGAATGCATAAATGCAAGGGACGCAGAAAGCCTACTAACGGCGTGGAAATTTATAGTCAAGAAATTTTACACTAACTCGTAGTATTGCCTTAGTTTATAGTTATTTCGTTCATCAAATATTCCTTAACAATTTATTACAATGTTTATCTAAAGTATTTATTTTTATTTATTATTTTCTATCACTAGGTTTGGCTTTGTTTTGTATTGTATTTGTATCTGAATTATTTTTTCAGTTATTTTTCTTGTTTTTCCGTTATTATTTTTTGTATTTAAACTTATGTATTCTATTTAATGGAATGCCAATGTTCCTTTTTCTATCATTAAGCCTGAGGATGGCGTATAGAGTAGGCCAAAAACATTAGTTTTGCAATAAAACTATCTCAGCAAAATAAAGGTGTAGTGTGATAAGCTAATTATTTGCTGAGCACGTTCTGTTTAACTCCACAGAATATTTCCTGTACCATGCTAATTACACTGACCTGTGATAATTGTGACGTTTTTGCTTATTTGACTTAATTATAATAATTTAAAGGAATTAAGCATTAAATTATTTAATAATAATAATAATAATAATGTTAATAACTAAAATTTGATAAAAATTGAAAAACTTGGAATATTTGCCTTCTAGCTACATATGTCAATATGTACTAGAATTATATTGCTTATTCAAGATCTATATCCATAGGAAATATCAGAAAACATTATGTTTAGAAGACAAACAACCATAAAGTAAGCAGTCACTGGCCTAAAAGTTCAAGGCTGTGACTGTATTTCATTCAGTCTCCAAGTTGAAAGTGTGAAACACTTCTAAAATAAAAACAATCTAATACCATCTCTTGTCCCAGATTATTTTTTGAAGTCAAGGTACAAAATAAATTAACCATTAATTTAGTTAACAAAAGGGCACATCCTATTTTATTGTCAGTTGCAGTTGTGTATTTAACTTCATCTATCCTCATCTTAACAAAATTAGCAACACAAAGATGCTTAATATTGTTTGTAATTATTGAATTTAGACAATCATCATCTTAAAAGCAGTCAGCCAGTTGATGAACAATTTATCATTAGCAAAGTAAGCAAAACAATTCCAATCTGAAAGCATCCTGGACTTTGCAGGTTGCATCACCAAATTTGGTTCAAATAAACTGCACATTCCAACTTTGTCCAAATGTCTTGGAAAAAATACACTGATTACACAAGTAAATACAGTAATTAATAGTTTATATTTCCAATAATTAAAAAACACTATCTTAGTTATTATGGCAGTTAAGTTTAGTGGTTCATCGATATATTTGATTATGACTATTTCTTTCGTACGTTCTATGAATTTTGAAGTTCAAGTATTCTATTAGTTATTTACAACTTACCTCCCTTTTCACTATCATAGTGTGATGCATCAAATTGTGCATCTTCACTTGGTAATTGAACACTAGCAATTAACAAATGATTCTGTTCATCCGACCTAAATATGATAAACATTCCATTAAAATATAATTTCCAATTTAAGTAATGTAAGAACTGTATATACTCACGTGTGTGTTCCTAAAATTAACCGGTGAACAGAAAAATCTTTCCCTTCAGGTCTACGAAAGCAATGTATTAATTTAATCTTCATATAAATTTTAAACAATAAAAAATAAACTTACCTAACAACATCAGGTAACCATTGAGCAGTTAAACTAGGCCATTCCAATGCATGAGTCATTACCAAATCATACAGAAATGGTGTGTTTTTCTTCCAAATTTTTATATTCTTCATTAATCACTCTTTCTTCTACTGTAATATAAATTTTTAAAAGTTTATTTATTTAGCGTATTAATGCAAAGTAATTTTATTTGTATTTATGAATCACTTAATATCAATAGCATCTGGCAGTATGGCATTAATATAATAAAAGCAATTTTTAAAAGTTTATTTATTTAACGTATTAATGCAAAGTAATTTTATTTGTATTTATGAATCACTTAATATCAATAGCATCTGGCAGTATGGCATTAATAACATGTTGCAGGACTCCAAAGTATCAGAATCCTCTGGATGCTTCGAAGGATCCGATGTTCAGTCATGGTGCTTCATTGCGAAATTAATAGGTCATTTTATTCATTTTATCTAGCTGAAGGGCAATTNTAATAAATATTTCTAAAAAAGTTGATAAACAATAAGGATGATCTCATCATCATCAAAAGATACAAAATTAAAACAATGTCATTTTGTAATGTTAACTCACAAACAGTCTATAGAGTTCCAATACACTCAATATAAGACAATTACAAATTTCAAATGTTCAATGTACATAAATATGGTGTGTGTTTTATATAATCAAATAATATAAGACATCAAAACAAAGACCTTAATTTCTACAGAGATTTTTTTTTTAATAGACAGTGAGATAAATTTATGACAACAGAATTGATAATGTTGGCATAAATTTGTTCAGTATTTACTTCACATTAAAGTAAGTTATATATCACATTTTCCAGGGCACCAAATTCAGAAGCTTCTTCACTTTCTGTTAGGTTCTTCTGAATCAGCACTGGATACAACACTCACATCTTGCATGCAATCACCCCTATGCCATCTAAAGCAGTATTGTTCAACCTTTATCTCATTACAAACCACTAAAATCAAATAATTTTACAGGAACAAAGTAATTTTGTGCAATTACGAATTATATTTATTGAAGTTATATATGTTTATCTAGCTTTACTGTACATAACAGAATACTCTAGATCAGCATTCCCCAACCTTTTTATTGGCGCAGACCAATCAATGTTTGATAATTTTACCACGGCCCGCTGAGGGGGGACGTTGATTGTTTATATTTTAGATTGTTTTGATTTAATAATTTTAATTTAACTGTAGTTATTAAAATTAATTTAATTTAATTTAACTGTAATTAATTTAATTTTAATTTTTAAACATGCCTTCAAAATAAAATAGTTACACCAAAAAATTAATATAAAGTGATTTAACATTTTAAATCACTAGAACGCTACATCAATGAGAACCCCGAGCTTGTTTCTTTGCAATGAGACGGTTCCATCTGTGGGTAATAGGAGACACTGACACCCGAAGTGTGTTGCTTACGTCCAGTTTATTCCGTTGTTTTGTTTTGGTTGCTGTCACTGCAGAAAACCCCGCTTCACACAGATAGGATGTCGAAAATGGCAATAGGGATTTAAGTGTTGTGGTGGCAATCTCAGGGTATTCCGCAATGACTTTAATCCAGAACACCGGCAGAGTTGTTGTCTTGAATGTAGTTTTAAGACTGCTGTCATTTGCAATCTCCAGCAGTTGATCTTGCAAAGACATGCTAGATTCACCTGGTTTGTTGAAAAATGGGTCGCAAATCCATTCCTTACCAGTTCGTGGGTCTTTTGTGGTTGGGAATAGTGCTCGAACTCTTTTAAAAGCAAGACAGGTGATCGTGCACCAACTGGGAGAATGAATGCTCAGGATCAGTCTCACCTAAAATCCCCGCTAATGTCTGAAACATGTCCAAAATGCCTCTGTTCACACGCTATCCTACAACTCCAGTTTGGCTTTAAATGCAACTACTTTGTCTGCCAACTTGAAAATAGTTGTCATTTTCCCCTGAAGGGACAGATTGGGTTCATTGAGCAGGCTGAATATGTCACACAGGTAAGCCAGTTTTGCAACCCATACCTTGTCACTGAAATGTGCTGCCAGCGGTGACTTTTTTCTGAGAGAAATCTTTGCAATGGCTCTCGTAATTCAAACACTCCGGTTAGCGATTTTCCTCTGGATAACCATCTTATATCTGTGAATAAGAAAAAGCATCTGTGCTCTGTGTCCATCTCCTCACAAAGCTGCTCAAACAGGTGTGAGTTAAGGGCTTGTGCTTTGATGTGGTTAATAACTTTAACAACATCAATCAGTATGCTGTTAAATTCCAGTGACATTTTTCGGCTTGCCGGCATTTCCCTGTGAATAATACAATGCGTAGATTCACTCTCAGGCGCAACCTCCTTAATCCAAGCAGTTAAACCAGACAGTTGTCCGGTCATGGCAGCAGCTCTGTCTGTGCATATGCCGACACAAAAGGACCATTTTAATTGTCCTGATATATGACCATCCAGTGACTTGAACAGTTCTGCTCCTGTGGTGTTGGTTAGAAAAGATAGTGCACATAACAAATCCTCATGCACATCCTCCTGATATAGATATCACACAAACAAATAGTATTGCATTGTTGTCGATATCTTTCGATTCGTCAACCTGGAGTGCATACCACGGTGATGTATTAATCCTCTCCAACGATTGTCTCTCAATGTCTGGCTATTTCCTCAATGCGCCTAGTCACAGTGCTAGCCGACAAAGGCACATGTGTTATCTTTTCCACAGCAGCTGCTCCTAGAAGTTCACAGCAAAAGTCTTTAGTGGAGGGCAATATCAATTCTTCACCAATAGTGAATGGCTTTTTAGCCTTAGCAATATGGTAAGCCACCAAATATGATGCTCTCAGTGCATTCTCCTTTATTGATATGGTGGCCCTCAGAAATTTCTTCTGTCCTTCGTGTTCCCGTTTTTTTCTTTCAAAATACTCCAGGGGCTTGTCTTTTAATCCAGGGTTCATGGCGTTCAAGTGGTGAAGCAGTTTTGAAGGTTTCATTGCCTCATTAGAGACCTGGTCGCCGCAAACTATGCAGAGTGGGATTGGTTTGTGGGAATCACCTGTCCCGATAAATCCATATTTCAAATAGGACTCATGGTATTGTTTGTTAAAAGTTTTATGTTTCTTTGATGTTGAAGGCTCTTCTGTCTCTTCACTGGGCGATTTCTTTTTCCCAAGGAAACTTTTTAACGACGTCTATTTCGTACCCAAAAATAATCAAACACCTTAGTATTTCCAGCAACGGAGTATTTAATAAAATAAAAACGTTTTCGATTATATTTAATATTCTTCTTCAGTTAAGCCACTTTAAAACAAAAACGAATGTAAAATAGAACACAAGCAATACAATGGTTTAAAAATTGAAATTAATTACAACAAAATAAAACATAAAAAACAAAATTAAATTACAATAAAATATTAAAATATAAAATAAAATATAATTAATACTTTATTTAATTTAATTCTTTACCACGATTAATTTTCTTAATATTAATTGTAATTTAATTTTGTTTTTTACATTTTATTTTATTTTGTTGTAATTAATTTCAATTTTTAAACTGTTGCATTGCGTTCTATTTTACATTCGTTATTGTTTTAAAGTGGCTTAACTGAAGAAGACTATTAAATATAGTTGAAAACGTTTTTATTAAATACTTCGTTGCTGGAAATACTAAGGTGTTTGATTATTTTAAGTATTTATATTCCAGTAAGTTATTTTAATTTGTTTCGTACTCATTTTTGCTAATTTCTGAGTTAAATTTGAGCAAACACAATATACACGTACATCAGTGAAGTCAGATGTGGTGATTTCCTGTAACCATGAACGAATCAAAAGACGAGATTAATTAACAAGAACATTTATTGACTTGCACACGTCGGACTTGGATCTTACACAAGACATCTGCTATCATGAACAATTAACAAAAAAATATACATTTATCAGACAATACACAAAGACTCAGTTTGTAAACAATTTACCTTTTGTATATACAACTGACACTCGATCCAGAGCGGTCTTTCAATGATCGGACATAAAAAATGAACAGATGATGCTTAACTTAAGCGCAGTTTACAATAACGAATATGATTAATCTTAACATCAGACCAACTTAAACCAACCTAACAGATCTTAGGAGAACTCAACTTTCCTGCCTAAACTCAATCTTTTTATACAGATTGAAGAAAACTCTAATCAACCAATCAGCGTTTTGTAGCGCTATCAGATGTCCGCTGGCCAATCAGTGCTCTTGTTTTTGAAACTAACGGTCGTTTCTTGATCCAAGCTTCTGCGGCGTCAACTGTTGCTTGTTTGAAAAGAAAAAGGGTGGGAAATGTACGTACAGACGATTCCATCGCAACACTCTCCACCAAAGCTACACTGCCACTTGCAGCCGCTCAGCTCCAGACGTCAGCTAAAATCGCCTTGATATCACGATATTTTGCGCATGCACGGTATTGGTGCGGTTTTAGGTGATGACTCTCAGCTCCTGGTTAACCACACGTCCATTAAAAGTCGCACAAACCCAAGAGAAATACACCACAGTAAATAAAATAGAAATAATTTAATGTTCCTTGGGCGGCCCAGTACCATTTGATTCACGGACCAGTACCGGTCCGCGGCCCAAGGTTTGGGGACCACTGCTCTAGATTACTATTTAACTGTCACTCATCAGCAACAGCACAGTCAGATTTGTTTCTGAAGACCAGTGATAGAAAAACACTGGTCTAAAGCATGAGGTAATAAGGTTGAACTAAGTTAAGCTCTTAAATATTTGTTAATATGAATGTTGGCTTATTACACTAATATTCATTAATTAATAAAATCATTAAAACAACACAATGAAATTAGTGACTTCTAGCACTTAGAGAATATGTCATAATTATGACTTCCTCTAGTGGAATCCAAGATAAATCCTATTTTCAAAGGTACTAAAACCTAAAAAAAGCATCTTATATTCAAACAAATACAGTGTGTGACTATACACACACATACACACTGAATTGTAGAACATTTAATTATACATTAAAACATTACATAATTATTAGACATTATATAACAATATAAAAACTACAAAATAATTAATTGAAAAAGTACATGCTCATATATCAAAAATGACATCTGT